AACACAGCTACAACAGTCACTGTGTAGCACAGTTCACACAGGCCAAACAAGCCTTTTACTTCTGCACTTCCCAGATGTGAGAGGTTGCTCAGGCATACCGAGTCCAGCTTCTGTGACATTTCACCTCTTCAAAACGTAACCACAAGAACTCCAGAAAGGAATTAGGTCACTTGTCTGCACGCAATCTTGTATTTAAAGATGTATTTTATCTGCACTGAAGTGTTTCCTAGTCTTCCTCTAGCTGACATTTTGCAGATACCACACAGATTTAATGGTAATTTTATGTACTAATTTTAAACAAGTTTCATATTTTAATGTACTACATCTGGTTAGGAGTCCCTTAAATAACACTCTTCTCAATCATATTACAAACTAGGAATTCTGGTACATGACAAATAAAGAGTAAAACCTGCTTGTAATAGGTATTTCCACACTTACCCAGCATTGATAATTAAAAACAGCATTACAATAAAAAGGCAATCCACTCCCTAGACTCTTCTTCCACAAGAGAAATCCCACAGTATTTCAGGGTATTTTTACTGTTTGTCTATTTTATCTTCAACTCTACCAAGTTTAACAACAGAAAACACGAGAGCAAAGACCAGGCACAGGCGCATCAACCCTAAAACATCACCTTGCTTCTGCAAGACCAGATGACACTGTGATAAGGCCACCCGTAACTCATCCAGAGCATGACTTCCATAAGTCCACAGTCAATGGTCAAATGGTACAATTATGAGAGTACAGGCAAAACGCAAGCACATAATGCTCTCCAAAGGAACAAAATAAGTTAAAGAATCATCAGAAAAGTTTTCAGTTCATTTGTGGTGAATTGTTCTGCCATTGTCTGAAGTTATGCTGCTGCATTGTTTTTTAATAATGAAGATTTTAAACACTGTGTCAAATCCCAACTGCTCTTGGCTTACTGTTGATTTTAAGATGGAGGTTTAGACATTTATGACCACATTGGTATTGTTCTTTCCATAAGGAAATGCAGCTATCGTGTTAAATACTACTTCAACTTTAGGATAAAATATTATTTTTCTGAAAATGTTACCTATTGATCTGATAAACCTATCCACATCCAGTGCTACCAGAAACACTAAAATTTGTCATTCTAGAGTTTCGTTTTCAGTTCCTTCTCCCCACAGTTACCTTCTTATAATATTTGCCTATACAGTTCCCTAGTTATAAAACAAAGAATACAGATAAAACATTTAACAGCTGATTCGTAGTAGTAGTTATAGTTGCAGGAAACAAATTAAAAATTAACCTGTTAACACTGAGGAAAATACAGTATTTGCAAATACCTATGCATGCTGCATGTAGGTAAGATACTGCACACCTGCAGCTAAAAAACTGTGGCAAGATATAATGATACTCCTTCACCCACACACAACTGGGTGCATTTGAACATGAAGTTGCCAGTAGGAGAATTAATAAGGGAACAGCAGTGCACAACATTGCATATCCCTATGAATAGGGCTCAGTCATAAAGTCAGTAAAAATCTAGGGTCTAAAGTTACTAAAAGTAAGTTTTCCTGAATCAGTGTACTGTTTCTCCCTCTCCACTTCCCAGAAAGTAAGCAGAGCTTTCAAAACATAACAAAACATTTAGGATGCAGAAGGAGTCACCTTCCAACCACAATCACTTTCAAAACTGAAAATTTATTGAAGGAGCGTTTCCCTAAGAGTCTTAATCTCAGACAGAGTGTACTACCAAAACAAAAACAACCCAAAAAAACTATTCATGTTTTATTTGATTAATGCTTGCCTCCAATCATCTGTATAATATTATCAAAATATTATCAAAAATTATAATATTATCAAAATATCTAAATAAAGAGATAGCCTTCCAAATAAAGACCTCATGTCAACCATTTCTAATCTACCACGTGGTATTACTAAAGCAATCATTGCGTGTACTGGAATAATAAAACCTTAAGGACAGAGTTACAACTCTAAAGATTTGAGTAATTTATAAGGAGAGAAAAAAAACCACACACACAGGAAAACACGTCTTACCAAGAAATTTGTTCTTTTCACTAGTAATTGTTTAGGTAATTATTCAAAAGACCTAAAAACCATCAGAAAAATAAACTTTTGAAGAGGAAACTCTAAAAATTCCATGACGGTTTTATGAAATACTTTTCTCCCCAGAGGACTACTAATATTAAATGAATGACTAGGAAGCCCACAAGTTGAAAAGCCTTAAAAAAAAAAAATTACAAGGCTATGCTGAAAACCACCTCATCTCAGCAGAGACTTGATTCTAAAAAACAGATTCAGCTACCAAACCAGGACAGCTAAGCTAGTAGAAAGAACACCTGCTCCTTGAAAGTGCTCAATATCAGTCCGATATTTCTGTTATTAACAGCAACAACAATAAATCCATCAGCTTCAAATAAAATAAAAGTAATCCTAAACAGTTTTCAAAAGCCTCAGAAATGCATAGAATTATGCAGCTTTTTAACTAAGCATTGCTTAGGCAAAAAAAATCAGTGCTGTTTACCTGCTTTATTAAAAATACTTCTTAAGCCTGCCATGCCTTGGAAAAGCTACTGTAAGAAACCGACCAAGCGTTCACCACCTAAGTTACCCAAGAACATAAAAGAGTTCCAACAGACCGATACTGCATTTAACCAAACACGCTCTCATCCACGCCACTGCTGAGGAAACAGAGATGGTTTTCAACCAAGCCTTGTTCCAACATCCCATCTCGGTGTACAGCACAGACGTCCACCGTCCCGCCCCCCAAAACACAGGGAACAGCACTTGGGTGCGAAACCAGAAACGGATCAGGCAACGCCGCTCACTCCGCGCAGACGCTCCTCAGCTGTTACAAGCGCTTCAGAACAACTGTCGACGCGACAACAGCTCAGCGCTCGAGCCAAGAGCGTTTTCACCGACCCCTTT